ATCGCTACTAGGTTGGAGGCTATCGCTACTAGGTTGGAGGCTATCGCTACTAGGTTGGAGGCTATCGCTACTAGTAACAATAAAGTGCTTTTTACGTGTTTTTTTTTGTGCGAGTTTTCGCCCACCCAGGATTGGCCGACCCTCCACTGAGCCGGACCCCAAGCCAAGTGCAAGAGCTCCAGGCCTTCCCTCTCCGGGTCGAAGGAAGAGCGATGTTTTCAGCAAGTCAGTTTGGGTCAGTTGTTTTTTTTGAAGCGATGTTCAGTATATATTTATTTTCTCTGAGATGTTTGAGACGCTAACTTTTGCAAATGCCCAGCTCTGGTTAACTGTGGTCCTTGAGCGACCACGCCGGGGTCGGCGAGCCATGTTCCACGAGCCGACCCCAACTCCGGAGTTTTCTCGGGAGCGATATCGAAAAGCATTGACTTGACTTGATAAGACTTGCTCTTGCTTTCTTTCCCTGCTTGGGAGGTCCAAAGACCTATCCGGATTTGAAGGTTCATTTTCAAACACTCGATTTGGTGCGGAAGCTCAGCGTTTCATGTGTTTGCTCCGTCCGGACTCATGGTAGGGTACCAGTCTCCCTCCGCTTGTTTCCAGCACATGTGTGCTGTGCACGCTGCTGTGCGCAACCTTGGCTCAATAGAGTAGGATGGGAAAGTTTTTGTTGTTTGGATCATGGCGTGGCGTGATGGCCAAAGAGAGTCAGCGAGAGATTGGCGTTGATTTTCTGGACAGACGGAATCAACGTCAATCAGGATGGATACTGTTAGTGCTGCGGAGAAGTCTTTGGATCAAAATGTGGAAGACGAGGACGAAGAGGAGGAGGAGATCATGTTGGAGTCTGAAAAAGAGGCCGCGCGGAGAGCTTTTGCAGCCATGTTGGAAAGGGAGGGAAGCTTTCCCGAATCGTCAGATTCATCAAGTGAAGAGGAGGCGGATGTTGCAAGAACCACCGCTCAGGAGCCGGCTTGCATCGAGCGGATTCGGCTACCTGACCGGATTCGAAACCGCTACACCTTTTTAGAACTGCTTCATGAAAATCATGGCCGTCGGGTCTACTTTTGCGACGCCCTCACTCAAGGTGGAAGTGGAGAAAACCGCTGTGTGTTGAAGGTGTGGTATAAATCTTCGCAGGAAGCCGACATGCTGGAATCAGTGATCAAGGGTCAGCTTGAACTGATGGACTTACAACGTCATGCCAACGTGGTACAGCCGTGCAGGATCTTGGAGGACGACTCGTGCTACTATGTGGAATTTCATGCCGTCTTGGCTGGCAGCTCTTTGTTCCAGACGATTGTGGCAGATGCGTCCACCACAGAGCGGTGGATCAAGAGAGTCTTCCGGGGTATCTTTCGTGGGCTGGCGCACTTGCATGATCATGGCCTGACGCACGGGGACATCAAACCGGAGAATGTCTTGCTTGAGTGGAAGGGCTATCGCGAGCTGCTCTCCAAGCATGCGAAGCATCCCAAAGCCTGGCTTTCCGTGAAAAAGTCTGTGAGACGTTGGAAATGCCCCACACACTTCAAGACGGCTTGGACGCGGCATCAGTTGGTGGCTCATGTTCGCATCATCGATTTAGATACCGCCTCCCGCTCTCCCAAAGGGATTTGCGGGACGCCTGGCTACATGTCTCCAGAGGAATATGTATCAGATTCCACCCCTGCAGGGGATCTATTTGCAGAACCTCGGATGCAATGGTCAAACATGGTCCTGGTCGAACAGTCAGATCCAAAATATGCTAGGAAAGGACACTCGCCTAAATAACGCTCGTGGGTTCAAACAAATTATGCGCTTCTTCTATATTGTTCTTAGTGTTGTTCTTGTAAGGCTATCCTCGTACCCCCCTTACATCCCCTTAACGCTCCTTGCGTTGAACGGGGCCTTCCGTTGCTTCCGCTCCTTTCGGTCGACCGGTGGGGCGTCCCAAGTGCCGAGAAAGGTGGGCGTCATGCTGTACCAGCTCATGCGCTGCGTGTGCCCCTTCCATGAGACAGTATTTCGAGCGGCTTGACGGGGCGAGGGATGGAATCTAGGGATCAAATCGCTCAGAGGGATGGAATGAGCCTTCACTTGGTGTGTGGTGAGGGGACCTAACATCATGCAAAAAACGGGTCTGGCCCCAATACTCGTGTTAGAAAAAGATCCCGGAAAGGATCCTAAAGGCCTAATCACAAAGATTGGGCTTTCCATCTTAGGAGGTCTGATGACTTACCACTTACCGGTCTTCACCGGAAGGGTCCTGTCGTCCTTTGCGTTTGGTGTTCCCGAGGTCCTGCGAGGCAGACCTTTGGACGGCGTGAGCGCTGAAACGAGAGAGGAGATCGCCGAGGCCGTGGAAGTGGTGGTCTCTTGGAGGAAAAGTTCATGTGCAGCTGGGCCCCCCCCAAAAAAAAATAGGACTCCAAAAGCTGAAGAGATGTGTTTTCAAAGCCTCCGCAGCCAACGCCTCACATGAGGTGTGTTGAAAGATTGATGTAGATGTGCGTTGATGCTTTGGTGTTGAAAAGTCATGCCTAGATGCTCTTGAGCCTTCGATATAAGCATGTTTGTGATTCGCCTTGTTTATCATTTTTTTTCAATATGCACATGCTGGTCCACTGCAAGGTGAGCCACATCGACTGGACTGAACACCCGTGGCCTGCACTACCAAAGGCTAGGGACTTGTGTCAGCAGCTGTTACATGCAGATCCTGCAGAAAGAGGCTGGGGTTCGAAGCAGTGATGTTGCCAAGCTTCCGCAAGGGAAGCTCGGGCGTGGATGGGTGGGAAGTTTTATGTTTGACTACCCACCTTGAATCCATATTATGGGAGTTGATCTAAGGGGGCGTGCAAGCTGTTTATATGAAAAGACCTTTTAGATGCTGTGAGGCTCGCAAAAGTACAGTGGTTTTTTCGCGAATGATTTTTTGAAGGTGTTCGTTTTTATTTTTTAGAGCTCCGCAAACCAGCGATGCCATGAGGGTTGTTGTTGCGGTTGTTGGTCATTGGCTTTGTTGACTTGCACGCGCGCAAAAAAATACTTTTTCTGCAGCGTGTGTTTGGCGCGCGCAGGCGATGAATCTCTGCAAGAAACATTGTATTTACTTGTGTTTGCATTCGGGGGGCAAAACACACCGTAAATGTTGATGTGTTTGGCCGTCAGCAAACAAATTGTATTTACGTGTTTGCTGGGGGGTGCGAAAACCAAGGTTTTTACGGGGTGTCTTACACATTTGCTGCCAAAAACGCATTATTTACCCAGTGTTGATCATGTTGCTAGCAGTGACATGTTCATTCAACCATAGCACAAACACTGTAATTTGCAATGTTGTTGTCGACTGAACGTCGCAAAATCTGATCCAAAATTTTCCAAAACCAACCTCCGGAAGCAGCTCAAAGTAGCTTATGAGGCAAACCAATCCTGATACTACTGCTTGTTTGCTGCTTGTTGGCGGCGGCTGCTGCTGCTGCTTGTTTGCTCCTGCTGGTGTGCTGCTGTGCTGCTGCTATTGCTGTTGTTGTTGTTGTGGTGGTGGTGGTAGCTGCTGCTGCTGCTGGTGCTGCTGGTGTAAATGCCTACTGCTGCTGCTTCCGCAAAGGAAATGGAATATTTTCGTATAAAGCCAAAACATTTTTCAAACACTAAAACGCCTTGTAAACAGGAACCTGATGTGACCCTGATGTGACCCCGTCGCATCGGGCCCCCCCTTGCAGATTAACAGTTTTCCAGTCACCTGATGTGACTAATATTGGTGACAGTAGCTTTTGATGATGCAACAAATTTTGAGCGACAGACGCCGTCCAGAGACCACAAGTGTGAATTCTTATTGGTGTTGTTTCTTTTTGCTGGAGGATTGGTGATCGGCGAGGTATCGCTTGTGCATCGCCATTTTCTCGCTTGTGCGTCGGGTTTACATTGATGGGCTTGTTGTCAAAGGCAATCCTCAGATCACAGAGGCATGGCAATCCTTGGGTCACAGAGAACTGTGTGCATCGGTTGCGTGCAGATGTAGGATGTGATGCTATAGCCATCGGCGCGTAAGTGAGCTTCAAACTGACACGTAAGTGAGAGGTCCGATGCGTAAGTGAGAGCCGATGCGCAAGTGAGCAAATTGTCGATGCGTAAGTGAGCGCCTGGCCATTGGTGATGCAGAAGACGCGCATCGTTCTGCATGTTGAAGAGGCCACGGAGGCTCGGCCTGTTGGCGCAGACGGCCGGCCCCAGTATAGCAAGCTAGCTTGGCTATGTTGTCACCGTTACGGCATCGCCGGATTTAAGGGGTTCCGCCCTCCACGCGGAAGATGGTCTTCGAAGAGGCCTACTCAGTGCCAAACGTCGCTCAATGTCCGATGCAGATTTAAAGGCGACTCTATCTCTAGCCTGCAACCTGTTTCCGCAAAGCCTGAACCCTGCCTTTGGTAGCCTTGCATGGCCCTTTGAACCCTGGCCTCGCCACGCCCTTAACCAATCTATTTCCACACGAGGAAACGCTCTCCAAGGCCCTCCTCGGTGCCTGGCTTCGGTGTTACTTGGCAAGCTTGAGGCCTGTCTAACTCCGCTAGCTTAGCACACCCCTCTCAGCCCCATTGCCCACACCAGATGCTTCCTCTAACACGCCTTCCCAGGTGGAGGCGGGGATTAGTTCCTTTCTACCGGCATTATATGATATGCTATAGGGTTGCCATATGGTAGAAGTACAGGGCAAGTGTTCCCACACATGTCGCCACATGCCCCACTGTCACAGACTAAACGAACCGAAGGCCCAACGTCACAGATCAACAATGCAATGTGACAACACAACTTGTCCTTGCACACCTGATGGTGCGTACCACAAACTGCAACTGCATCACCCTTGCGCAGCCGTGACAGTTAGGCAACGACCTGCAGCTCTGACAGTTTGCGCAAATGTTTGCGCATGGTATGAACGCTTTTTCGGGGCAAATCACCCGTGAATTTTCGCGAAAGCTTCACGAATGCGCCGCTAAAGTCCAGGTTCCGAACTTCAACCCCCCCAACATTCCCCGAGCTGCATTACCCTGTGTTGGAAGCTGGCACGGGGGTTGGGCTGAGTGCGCCTGACTACTCAAGCCTCCCGCAGGATATGCCCCAAGGTTTGATAGTTCTAGCAACCGTGTGTGTGTGTGTAGTACACTATGTGTTGGTGCAAAGATAATTCCAACAAATGTTAACTGGACATGGTTATAGGACCTTGCTTCGCGATGAGGCCGCGAAAATCATGGTTCAAAGCATTATTGTCGTTCCATCCTATATTAATATTGACCAACCACCATATGCAGCCACGGAGCCGGTGCTCCATCCAGTACCAGCCGGGAAAGAAATACAGCAACGAGACACGCAGAGACAAACTGCCAAACTGCAGGGACCTACCTTTACTCACGCATCTCCAGAGTCATGGCTCTCAATTCTCCTCATGCGCGGAACGGCCAGGTGGCACAGCTTCCGAAGTGATGGCTGCATCTCCGTGGCTGAACCCACGTGTTGGCAAGCACTTAAAGACTTTGGTGAGAAGAACAACCACAAAGATGAATTCAAGTCTGGGTACGTCACCTCCTTCGAGGAGCACAAAGATGTCCTCGCGCTTGACCAAGAATTTTGGTTAGGTTTTTCCAGCAGACGTCCTCTGAAAAGAGCACCGGTATTTGTTTGTTTGACCTGATGGGCACATGAGGAGGCTCTCAAAGTGGTGAAGGTGTTCATAGGCAACGAGTCAAGTCTTTGTGTCTTCGAAGGGCGATTCGTGGAACATTTGCCAAGGCCGAAACAACTCCGCCAGAGATCATCCGGCAGCAGCCTTAGCCAAACAACAGGATCTTTGCTGTACAGCCCCGTGCAACCGAATATTTGGTTGGTTGGATCAGCATGAAGTAAAATGTGTTGCATTTTGCGTGCATTCTGTGGACACTGCCGTGCTACAGGCGACACTACCGTCGCTTGGCCAGGGATTGCCATCCAGACAAGCACCCGGACAACGTAGAAGAAGCGACTCGCCGGTTGGGAGCCCCAGAACGCGCAGCAGTGTGCGTATGTGGGTTGTGAGAGCCATTTGTTGGACAATGATGCTAAAACATGCTAAAATAAATTTTCAAGAGCCGCTTGCATTCTTCGAGATTCACTATTGTGTTTCCATTCGTTGTTGACCCTTGGTATTGCCATCCTGAGGTTTCAGCAGCTGACAGAAGCCTATGAGGCGGAACTTACTGGATCAAGTCATCGCTTGACATGCGTGATCCAATGCACAGGCCATCGCCAATCGGCTGAAGCTATGACCGAAATTCGCCGCAGAAACTGCTGTGAGCGCTTTATTTTAGTTAGTGTGATGGTGTAGGTGATTCATGATCATTGGGTGCAAAAGCTACCCATTTACAGGACCTGTCATGCGGGGCGCTTTGTCTTCGGGAAATGATGTGCAAAGATTGCAAAGGATGATGTAACAGGGAATAAGGAAAGCTCAGTGGAAAGCTCATCAGGGTAAAACATGGTAAAACAATATCCGCTACTAGTAACAAGTGCATCGCTACTAGTAACAAGTGCCTTACTAGTAACCAGAAGCTAGTAGAAACAAGAAGCTCTTCATGGAGACTTGTCGAATGAACTTGAATGAGCGACCGACGTCGCCGGACGTCGACACTGGCTGCTCGGCTCAGGTTCACCCCATCCCATGAAAAAGTAAACCAATGCGCGACGGACGCAAAGTGACCGGGAAAAGCTACAAAGGATACTGTGCCCACATCAAGACATAGAATTTGAAACCAGCACGTCTGCAACTTCAAGACCATCAACGACCTCAGCAAAGAAAGCGCTATGCTTTTGCTTCTTGCTGTGGACAAGAAGCTACTAGGGGCTCCTGGCATCGCTACTAGGAACAAGAAGCTACTAGCTCCTGGCATTACTAGTAAGAGCAAGAAGCTACTAGGAGCAAAGGGCATCGCTACTAGGAGCAAGGACGCTACTAGGGGCTATCCGCGGCCATGTCACAGCGAGCGCCAGCTCGCCTGACCGTCACCGTGACGGACATCGGCGCAAAGGTGCGTCGCAGTGGTCCCAACATCGTCCGTCGCATCGGAGAACGGTCCGTTCGCGAGGTGATTGGTGCCTTTGAGTTGGACCAGGATGCTCAAGAACCGCTCTTAGCATGGCGAACCACCGCTCTTTTTTGGGTTGATTCAAGTGCATCAGAACGGTGTGGCCTGTTGGGGTGTGTAGGTCCGGGATTTTTTTGGGGGGTGTAAGCAGACCACAGGTGTCCCACTTGCGGCATCGGCTACAGCAGTCCAGCAATGTCCCGCTCTACGATCAGCACCTGATTTGTGGCAACAAGGTGCTTTGGTTGCAAACTGCACACTGCAGACGTGCAACTGTGTCTCTGGTGATTATGGGCAGGCGTGAGTCCTGTCAGGTCTTGACAGACGATATGTCTTTGGGCTCTTTGACCACACTCGGACAGAGTGAGTTCTTACAGTGACTTGGACGAGATTCATGGGATTCAAGCAGGAATGTCCGTTGAAATCCATGGGAGACCTTTTCCTTGGCAGCTGCATCATCATATGAATGAAGAATTGAATAATATCATGTCTCCTACATCTCTCATATGAGCAATGCATACGTATATAATCATCTATGACATTACAGTACCTATAACATCACTCCACCGTCACTTCGAGCGCCCAGGATCACTTTACTTCGAGCGCCAAAGCCTTGCGCACTGACGGCAGGCCGTAGATGGGTGGCCGTAGATGGTCATAAGTCCAACAGATGACTTGAGGTGATAGGAAAAATGGTGCAGAGGTAGCAGATGACAATGATGACAGTGTTCTTCTTTTCTACTTCGTATTCCAGCTCCTGTTCTTCACTTCAGTCTTGCAGTTTCCCTGCCTGGAGCTTTGCCACTGCAGACTGCGGGGCACTGTGGGCGCCTCTTTTTGCCAGGTTCTGAAGGGAACTTCATGCTGTGGGACTTAGACACCGGTCACTGTTGCCGCTTTCTTCCCTTCAGCACCTCTGTTCTGTGCCTCAAAGTGGTGACTTGGCTCAAAGGACTGATGCAGAGCCTGTACAGATGCCGGAGGTGTTTCACGATGTGTCACGTTTGGTTTTGTCTTGGAAGTCTGGCTTCGATCCCACTGTGCAATGATGACAGTCTGAGGACTGGCTGGCCCGGATTGCGCTGAGCGGGCACACTGACTCCTGTTTGAGGTATTTCTGGCCTGTTTGCGCTGAAACCCACTCCTGCGCCGCACCAAATCGCATCACCCAGATCATCGAAATCGAAACCCACCGAAAGGCCTCTTCTTTATAAATCCCTCTGTCCTCTCCTGCATGTCCAAGGCTCCTGTAGACCTGTCTCTTTCTTGTGGTGCATTGCTTTTCGCTCCGCGTTCGCATTCCTTTTTTCTCTCACTTCTCCTTTGACTGTTTCACCCATATCTCATTGGTTTTCTCTTGCTTCATCTCCTTTTTTTTGGGGGGGGGCTTCTCCTACCTCGACACAGCTGATTCCGCAAACCCACTAATTACAAGTATGTTATGTGATGTTCAATCCCTTTTCTTTGCAAGGTACCTTTGATTGAAGTATGAGCTATCTCTCATTGTTTACTATTTCCTCCGAGCCATTTGAATGAATACTTTGGCATGGGCTGGATTTTTGGAATTCTTCAGACACTGGGTGAGGGAGCCAAACGTGTGTGCCAACCCCCGAAATGGGAAGTTAGCTGGGTTGGTACTTACTTCTCGGCCAAAAACCTTGGAACTCTGGAACCCTGTGGCTTCCATTCCCCCGAGCCTCAAGTGATCACCTGAGTCTTTTTCCTGGTCCTTGGGCGCCCCCCACGCAGCGCCCGTCCTGACGTGGAAAACTTGGAGACCTGAGACCGTTGGAGACCAGATGGCAGGCTGTGGGATCTCGATCGGGGCTTTTGCCTCCGCGAAATGCCTTTGACAAACTCATTTGTAAGTCTCAGATCCGCGACCTGGGCTGCACCTGTGATCCAAACGAAGACCGCCGTGTTGTGGAAGGCTATTCCGGTTGTGGAATGA